AGCTGAATCCAAAGAAAAATAAACTTATCATGCTCACGAAAAATACTTAGAATTAATATTATAAATTCAAATAAAGGTAACCGCATCTCAAGATATCGTAACTCCATTAATATTTTATCTTTGGACAAAATATTAACTTGTAATTGACATCTTGATGCAGTAATCAAACATTGACAATAAGAACATATCAAACAATAAATCTTCCTTTGGGCCGAGTTATTGTTCACATGTATAACCAAATAATCATCACACGTTTATTACCGCAATGCACAAGTAATTCTAATGAGTACTCCCCTTCCTTTGGGCCGGTTAATACTCACTCAAATTACATGTACCCATATCCTTTTATATTTTAAAACAAATTAATTTCCACAAAAGAGGTCGCTTTGGCGACATGTTGCTTCAATTAATCTATCTCAAAATATATAAAACCTTATACCAATATTCGAATCCAAAATTTAAAATTCTAAGACCGAAAAATTGATTTAAGGGCTCAATCTTTATTTACATAGCAGTAATTTAAACCATGTAAATAAATCCAAGTAGAATGTGACTCACCAGAAAAAACAATTGAAAGAATACTGAATCCAATTCTTAATCCCCTCAAATAATTCATATTCAACCATTAAATCCAATCATTGCATTTTCAAAAAACTGTAGAGCCATATCAGTATATATCCATCAAGTTTATCATCCAAATCAACCATTATAATAATACATGCTGAAAGCCACGGCAATACGAGACAAATAATTCAGGTCCCTTTCGTTGATTTAAATACCATACAGATATCGTGGCAATATATAGATGAACATATATGAAATCACGTATTCCGAACTGATGTATATCCGAAATTAATCACAGATATCTTAATCCATACGATCAAAAAAAAAAAATTGATATCCGAAATCAATCCATACGATCAAAATAAATTGATTCCCCAAAATTCAATATGAAGAGGCTCTGATACCACTTGTTAGAATTAACTTTAGGCGAAATACATCGCTTTAATCCAGGAGCTTTCATATCAAATAATTGAGAATCAAAACTGAATAGCGGAAGCGTACCTGAATCCATAGGTGAT